ACAATAGCTAGATCTGTAGGGTTTATAAAAGAATAAATTATGGGTTGAATGTTAGGAGAAACTTAATGATATAAGTCAGTAAACAACAGAATCAATTACTTAGATGAATAGGCTGTCTTTTGCTGAAGGTATTCAAATACAGGTGGACAGCCTTTAGAGTGCTTTAGCATAGAATTATTTCTCTGAGAAGGAATATGAATTAGAGGGTATAACTTCAAGGCTTCTTACAATTATCATATATTTATATGAGTTCTGTAGAACTATTTCTTTTGCAGGATAGTACGTATTTTATTAATTTCTTTATTAAAAACTCTGTCTTGCTTTTCAGAGATTTACTGTTTCTTAAAGTGGCTCTTATCAGTTTTAAAAAAGGTCCTAAAAAGGCATGGCAAACAAGGAAAGAAGAGCAAGGAGAAAAGGGGAAAAATCCTTCAATACCATAAAGAAGCAATAAGCTGACATATGTGTGAATTATGTTAGTTATTATTTATTGGATTTATACCTTTTGTGTTCAAATGACTTACAGTGAATACAGAAAAATTATAATTTAAACAACTATGTAAACTACCATTGTAAATGGCAATTAATAAAAGAAAGTGAAATAACAAAAGTAATAAAAGAAAGTAAGATGGCAAGGTCATGAAAATGCTCTCCAGAATAATTCTGTTTTTAATAGCTTTCTAAAGGTCCATGGGGAGGGGGTGAGTCTCATCTCCAGTGGGAAATTATTCCATGGCAGCACCATCTAGTCCTGGCTCTCCGGAAGTGTGGAATCGCAAGCAGCTGTTCCTAGAAGATATGATAGGTTGTGTTGATGTAGTTGGGAGAAGGTAATCCTTTAGATACCCATGAAGGGCTTCATAGGTTAATGCCAGAACCTTAAATTGTGCTCACCGATTTATCAGTAACCAGTGCAAGGCCCACAGAATTGGTGTTATATGTTCCCAACGTTGTGAGCTGATAAGAACACAGGCCTTCAATACCATAAAGAAGCAATAAGCTGACATATATACGAATTATTATATAGTCCATTCTGGACTAGTAATTTCCAAATATTCTTCAAGGCAGCCTTATGCAAAGTACATTGCAGTAATCCAGTTGGGTGGTGATGAGGGCATGAATCATTGTTAGCTAGGTCCTCTTGCATCAGATACAGCTAGTCCTCACTTAACAACTCTGTTTAGCGACTGTTCGAAGCTACAACGGCACTGAAAAAGTAACTTTATGACCAGTCCTCACACTTAACAACTGTTGCAGTGTCCCTGCAGTCACATAATTAATTCGGGCACTTCACAACTGGCAGGCATTTATGTAACATGATTGCCATTTGCACGTTTCACTCCCAGCTTCTGATAAGCAGAGTCAGTGGAAAAGCCAGCAGTAAAATAGCAAGTTGCAGTCATGTGATGTCTCGCTTAACGACTGTGGCAGAAGTGAGGTAGTCTATTGCAGTCACATGATGTCTCGCTTAATAACCTCATTGCTTAGTGATGGAGTTGCCAGTCCCAATTGTGGTCCTTAAGCAAGGACTACTTCTAGGGGAGTAATTGGTGCACCAACTGAAGCTGGGCAAAGGTCCCCTAGCCATAGCCTCTGTCTGCTGTTTTCCTAGCTGGAGTTGTTTGTCTAAGAAGATTCCCAGATTGCAAACCTGCTCATACAAAGAGAGTGCCTGCCCCTTCAGATCCAACACTGGGATTGATAGAGAACCCCAGTGTATAAACAGTAACTCTATCTTATTAGGGTTTAGCGTGGTCTGTTCTCTCATCTACTTACAGACTCCAAGCAAGACATTGACAGCATCTCCCTTACAGCCTGAGGTGGTGATGTAAAGTTGGATGTCATCAGCATATTGATGCTAAAGTACTTCAAATTGTCATATCACCTCACCCAGTGTGTTCAAATGGATATTAAAATGAAAGTCCAAGCTGAAGAGGAAGCTCATGCCTTTTGATATGTAGCTTATGTTCTTTTGGTGCTATTTGCTAGTCTCAGTGAGATTCATTGTGATACATTGTGTTAGAACAGGCCCTCTCAAGTTTTACTCAAGTATTGGCATTTAATATGTAGCTTTGCTGATTTCTTGTTTAGTTGTACCTGGTGCTCTTTGCAATACTTTTCTCCAAGCATCCCAATTCTCCTCCAAGTACTCTTTTCAGAGAGCAGTGCTTTGTGTAATTATATACTACAAAATAAATATTAGGACAATGCAAAGACCACCCAGTTAGACGAACATTGGTCTCCCTACATTTTTGTCTTTAAGACCATAGAATTTTGTATTTTGGGCAAATAAGTTGATTATAGTTGCATTATGCATGCCATCCCATCCTTGCCATTTTAAAGTCTTTTTAAACCATACTTTTTATCATCATAATTCAAAATTAAATCTAGTTACTTCTATTTGATTTTGCGTGCGTGTGCGCGTGGGCGCTTAAACAATTTTTTCTTATCATGTACTGGGTTACTGTGTGAAAGGAAGGGTTAACATTGATTTTAGAATCGCCTCTAAATGGGTTGAATGAGAGAAAGTAAATGAAGGTAGATTTTTGTATTGGTTTTTAGGGTAGGCATAGGTGTCATCACACTAAAATGTATGCATGTAGCAGCCTCAAGGGATTAAGGCATTAGTACTGATGAGTATTCTGTAATAGTTTGACTGAATTTAGTTTTCAGAAAATAATTTACTGGAACAATAGGGAAATGCAAAAGGTAGAATCAAAAGCAAAGATATCTGGCTCTGTTTAATAATCACAAGGAAAAGTAATAAGCATTTTAAATTATAAACTTACTGTTGCACAATTAAATGATTTATCACTTCATTTATTCATTGTGCTTTTTTAATGGACTGATCCCACAGTGCATTGAATGGATTAAGACAAACATTTAATTCCCCATTACAATTTGAGATGGCAAATGAACAGAAGAATTTAAATGATTAGACTTTATCAAGGGTGTTACTTGGGACGTGAAGCAGAATATCTGCATTATCTGTAATCCTTTGAATTCCTATAAAAAAGGTTTGTTTATCAGTTCTAGAACTTTGAGCCAAGAAAAAGTAATCAGTATTGCTGCTTCAATAAGTTTTAGTTCTGTCATCTGTTAATGAAGTAGCATGCTGAAAAGTATGTTGTAAGGAAGTTAATTGCCGTGTTCCTGTAAAGTGCACATTGCTTAACAGTGAAGGAGTTCTAAGGGGTCACTTAACATGGAAATGGTAAAATCTTTAGATACTTGAATTATTTCATCCTTAAGAATTTATATGAAAAGCTATGAGCATGCACAACTGTTTTAATTTTATGTATATCACTGTACAGTTTAGAGTGGATATGCTAGTTTGTTTGTTAGACCAGCAAGAAGAAAGGACAAAGTTTCACAGAGAAAGTTTATTAATGGCTACTTATTTCAGGATCCTATGCCACTAAATACTATTTGGTGGCTTAACAGTTTCATGCCTTTGTGTGTTTCACAGAAAAACTTGGCTGGCCCTTACGGCCATTAGGATGCAGGGCCATATGGACCCTACTATCCGCCAGAGCCAGATTCTTATCTTCATAAACCTGCTTCACTTAAAATTTTCAGACTTCTTAAAATACATTTTTTTATTTGAAGAAAGTGTATCCAGACAGTGTTTTTGGCCCCAGAATTCTGAGTAATGGCTATATAGCTGAAATCTACACAGGTATAAGGTAAAAAAGCTCTTCTGGGGGCAACGGTAAAATATGAATACTAGGCTGAGAACTACATCCATACTTCAGAGGTCCTAGTAACAATAAACCTTTAGGGTATGAAAAGATGGATAAGTAAACTAGGAGTCTGAATCTAAATAGCAGGCATGCAGATTGAGAAAATGAAAGGATTTATAGATGAGAAAAGGGGATAGAAAACAATCTACATTGTGGCTAATGATTTGAAATTATTAATCTAAATTTGATTCTTGATATAAATCATTGTTTTGCATGCTTATACTGGCAGTATAATCTAAATGTTCAGGTTTTGACTAGAACTCTGCATATGCTTGGAACTAAACAGCCCACTGAGGACATTCCATGAGAATGTTTAGTTTGATCTATGTTCCAGTGGAACAAAATTTCAAATATTCCAATTATTCTGTGTTCTGATGGGGAAAAAAATGAAACATTGTGTCTGTTCTATAGGGAACAATGGCAATTCAAAACAATTCCCTAATGCATAAAGGAATATGAGGTGATAGCCCATGGTGAATCCTGTCTAAACTGCCTAGAGCAAACGTGGCGCTGTGGATTATTTAAAAAAATATTTGAGTAGCAAACATTGGAAATAACAGTTAAGCATGCTTTTCGCAGTCTCTGCATTCATTGAACTATCAGAAAACTCTGAGACCAACAGATGGATTCATTTTATTCATTTCAACACAGCATAACATAATGAAAGCAAAAATGCACTTATCTATCTACTGGATTGGATGGAGGCTTCTTAATGTACATGTTTACATAGTGTGTATGTTCTGTATTTGATAGTCTGAAAGTTGATCAGGATAGTCACACTTTAGATTTGGCAGTCTATCTGAAAAATATAATGCAACGTGTGCAGAGTATTCAGGAACAACAAAATTATATAAACTAACTCAGAGAAGAGATTTAAGAACAGTAGTTGATTTATCTACCATTATATCTGAAATGGTTCTCTTCCTATTTCTAAACATGTGTTTAAATAACTCCTTTTCATTCCTATATATGGAGGGACGGAACTTGAAGTCTAGGGGAGATTTTAACAAAAAGCCAGTCAGAATGTGTCCAAACAGTCAAAATGCTATGGAACAAAATACTCTTACTTTACCCTGACAAAACATCTGAACACAGCCATTTCAGAATCAGGATAGTTTGAGCATGGAATGTTTCGTATTTGCCTACTGTGGACTGCTTTGCTTTAGGGTATTTGAGTGATGACTTACTGACCTCCATATTATGACTGTTAGAAGTAAAAGTTATATTTTACCAAAGGATGATTAATCTTTCTTAATTCTAAAGGGTGAAGATGTTAACCGAACATTGGAAGGTGGGAGAAAACCTCTTCACTATGCAGCAGATTGTGGCCAGCTTGAGATCCTGGAGTTTCTTCTACTAAAGGGAGCTGATATTAATGTATGTTGAATAAAATCATTCAGGCTTGGATAAAATTCTCTATTTGACTTAAGACAAATAGCTATTTTAAATGCATGAAGTGGGATGTACAGTATATACAGTTGCCCTTGGCATAAATGTTAATTTTGTTGTTGCAGTACCACAGTTTTGCTTATTGGAGGATATGAAAAGAATATAGGATGTCTGTCTATCTCTATTGTATCTATCTATAGCTGTCTGTCTTCATTAACTGCCAGTTACAACGAGCTAACAGATTAATCTGGATGGTTCAAGCACTTCATTGTTTCAACAGTACATCTGAAGTGGTATGAGTTTTTCATAACCATCCAAATCTTGCTGTCCTTATCTTGGAAAGTATCAACTTGTAGGATATCTGTGTTCCCTTCCTGTGTACTGCATTCCAACATCTCATAAAATCTGTGGATATCGGTGGCAGCAGCTTACCCATCCCCACCCTGTAATCTTCCCAGTGCCTTCCTTTCCTCCTTGCTGCCACAAGTGTCTTCAGCTTCAAGCAGGGTATATCCTGCCTGCCTGCTCATTTCCCTAAGTTTTACGAAAGGAACTGGGCTGGTGGAGAGACCGTAAGATTTTTCCAAATTATTTCTTGTCCAAAATCTAGAACAAATGCAATGTTCTGAGTTTTGGTTCTGTCAAACCACAGTCCATTAGGAACAGTTCAGTAGAATTCTTGAAAAACAGTGAGTTTTGTTTTGAGTTTGAAACAAAAATGAGTTGTCCTCTTGTTCATACTCTTAATGATTTATTTTAATATGGGAGAAGAGGCAGCCATATTAAGGAAGAGAGTACTTGTCCTTCCCCTGTCCATTGATTTTTCCTTGTAACTCCCCCTTCCCCTGCCAAACTCCCATTTAAATTACTTTGCCAAAGCCAGCCTTGAAACAAATTGAAGATTTTCTGTAGGGATAGAGAATATTTGTGGCAAAAGGAACTCTTGCTTGTGAATCCTCTTGTAGCAATATCCTGACCTACATTTTAAGTAAATACTGTAGATAAAGATATTTTTGTGGAAATAAAGAATAACTGCTTGCTGTTTCACAATATCACTGCTGACTTCCATTTTAGCAAATTATAACCTGCAAATAATGTGATTTCTGCATCATTCTGTGTGAGGGAAGTCTACAACTTTGTTCTTAATACTACTTGAGTCTTATTAGGAGGAGTACGTACTAAGTAAATAACTTGGGTGGTTTTTTTCCAACATCATTTTTTCTTTTTATAGGCTCCAGATAAGCACAGCATCACTCCACTTCTTTCAGCAGTTTATGAAGACCACATGTCCTGTGTGAAGTTACTTCTGTCAAAGGTGAGAATGTGTGATAGCATCATTCAACTTGGTAAATTTAATTTTTCAAGATGTTTTTGTTAGAAGTTTTAAGGATGCGTAATATGCAGTAGATACCAGAAATAAATTCAGATCCCTGTGCATAGACTGAAGAAGAAGAGTGAAAAAGGAAAGAAGAAAGCATTTAATTAAGTGCAGAGCTTTTGAAATGCTTGGGAATGGCAAGATTTGGTCTTTAGAATCCCCTTTGTCTTAGTCATTGACTTGAGCTGTTGTACATGTAACATAATGTTTAGTATGGTTATTTTATTCTAAAATTATTTGGCTAATTTAGCTGAGTATGAGCAGAGTTTATGCTATGAATGGTTATTTAGAGTCCAAGGCAGATATTGCTCCTTGTGTCTATATCATATTCTTTAGGCTGCTTGTAAATTAACCTGCCCCTGCTGTTGCCTTTCTAAGTAGATGTAATTATAACACAGGATAATAAGTATAACTGAGCATTAAGGCAAATTTGCTGTTTTGGAGTTAGTGTATTGCTTTAACAGACAGTGCCTAAATGCAATATTCACTTTTTTCCAAAACTTGATTATTGATTATTAATTATTTATCTATTTTACTGACATTCAGCAAATTAGATGACTAAGTATATTTTCAGCAGTTCTTTGTTAACCTCTTTGTGCAGGAATAGTTCATTTTATGTAAGATAACATTTGAAGACTAAACTTGACTAAAGCCATTATATAACATGAATAGGCTTGCAAAGACAGTATCTCAGAAAAGTAGAAAGATTTCAGGAACTTTTTTTTTTAAAGAACACAGTCCTTCCCAAGGAACTCTCTTTATAGAATTTCAGCATTCCAAATTAAAGAAAATAGAACTTTTTTATTTTAAGTGCTTCTCCCACTTCACAGGGGTACAAGACCTAAGGTAAGGTTTATTATTAGATCTAATTCAGTGTAATCATTCAACTTTTTAAGTCCATAGAAGCAGGCTATGAATTGCATATTTGAACTTCAAAATAAATGTTTCATTCTGTTCAGTAATATTTCATTAAAAAAAACCTTGGAAATTAGTTGATATCACTTCAGGGCTTACCCAATTATGATCTGAGTATCAAGGGAAGAAAACACATGGTTCCTTAAAAATTTCCAGTCATTTGCATGTGAAAACATTGTTACAATGGTAGATACTGTTGATTACTTAAAAAAAAAAAAAAAACTACAGTGGTACCTCTACTTACGAACGCCCCTACTTACGGAATTTTCGAGATACGATCAGCTTCGGCCCCAAAAATTTACCTCTACTTACGAACTTGCCTCAACTTACAAGCCATTTTCTGCCCGTTCCACGTGGTCCGCGGCCATTTTTCTGCCCATGCCACGTGGTCCGTGGCCATTTCCCGCCCGTTCCATGTGGTCCACGGCCATTTTCCGCCCGTTCCACGTGGTCAGTGGCCATTTTTCCTCCCGTTCCATGTGGTCCACGGCCGTTTTTCCACCCGACACGTGGTCCGCGGCCGTTTTTCCACCCCTGACACGTGGTCTGCAGCCATTTTTCCGCCCTGCCGCGTGGTCAGCAGCCGTTTTTCCGCCCCTGACGCGTGATCCGCGGACGCCGGAACGGATTAACGGTAATTACATTGAACCTTATGGGAAAATTTAC